GGGGCAACTTAGTTGTGAAAGGTGCTATATTAAAATAAATTGAATTGAATTGACAGAAAATATATGATTGATTGATTTATAAACAAACATCTTTCTAAATATGCAGCAAACAAAATTATTAACGAAGAACTACCAGAAAAAATAATTAGTAATATGGCAATTTTTCAATTCTTATTTCTGAACACATCAAATCAAAGTTATCAAAATCAAAAGTGCAATGATAATGGAAAACCAACAAAGCAACAGCATGAATTCACATTGTTATTCACTTCTCTAGGGAATATTTGTAGTCACAGACTAAAACATGCTGATGCATGCCTTATTGAAACTATAATCCAGACAATATTCTGCTTTCCTGTTCTAGTAGGTATGTCAAGAGTTGGCAAAGGTTTATTCCATGCTGAAAAAAAAGAAAGGAGTCACAATGATTTGGCTGTGGAGCCATCTTCAGGTGTCTTCACGTACCAGAAAAAGACGACACCTAAAGAAGACTCTATAGCCGAAACAATGTGTATCTTTTCTTTTTTCACAATGGAATAAACCATTTCATGTTCCTTTGCAGCCTATGCATGTTGGAGCAGCTACCTACTTGAACAGTATCAAACGTTTATTGATGATTACTTGATGTAATTTGAGAATTTTTGGAAACTAATTATTATGGTCAGGAATAAACATTTAAACTGTTTCTTTGCATAACTCTGAAATCGACATATGTCTCTAATATGAATCAAGTCGTGATTCTTGCTCTGTGTTACTTAAGTTGTTTTGGGGTTTTTATGATGTTATTGGGTTGGACAACTTATGGATGAGCAACATGGTTGCTCAATTGCTCCAGTAAACATCGTGCTGTATAAGGAGGGCTTTAAATGTTCACGGTTAACTTATCTGGTTAGTAATAATAATGTATTTTTTGCACATAAACACTGCATTAAATTATTGGTTTTTGAAGCCTAGTACAATCCTATGTATGGGACCTAAATTGACTGAGATGCTGTATTCCTGTTATTTTGGTGAATACTACTACTAATATTTAATACTTGGATAATACTACTTCACATTTAAATCTCACTTTGATTTCTAAACTTTTCTGTGTTTTTTCCAAATGCAATTTAGTGCAATCTTAGAATTCTTTGTTTCGTCGTAGCAGTGTTGCGAATCTGAAGGTTAAAGACGGTGGAGCCCACTTAATTGTCTTACTAATTAAAAAAAAAGAAAACGGCTTCTTGCCGCGATTTCATGCCCTATAAAATGAATGCGGTGTGACTTTGATCGTGTATCTAAAATGTTCACTTAAGATTTGCAACTGATAGATTAGCGCAGCTAAATACCATATCCCCAGCAAAATAAAATACCTTGTGACTTACGAGCAATCGACAGCAGGTGTGTCTAAATGTGTTTAAATGCTTTGCTGTCCTTAATCTCTTTATAAGGCATCTTCACAACGTTACAGTTATGCGGGGAGTTGTGTTGAATTACAGGTGAGTTGTGTTTGTTTTGTGTGTTTATAAGCTAATATGGCGCTAAGAACAAATATTGTTGGACTGACACCGCTATTTTAACACGGATACAAGCTCTTTTAGTTTGTGAATGTGGTGCCTTTATTACTTTTTATAACTAAAGCAATACGCGTATAGAGAACCTCTTTCCACTGCGTCGCTATCTTCAGCGAGCAAAATACTTTTTTCCCCAAAGTGTTACGATTATTGTGGCAGGAGTATTGACGCACTCGAAAGGTCGTGAACAGGAGTTCCCGTACAAGACAGAGCTCTGGGTTCAGCCACGTGGGCTC